TAGGCTAGGCCAAGCTGTGATGTTTAAGTGTATTAGATACATTTTGTTGATCTTTTCAACTTAGGGTGGGTTTATTGGGATGTAACCTCATCATATAGGTGATTTTAGTTATTTCCACCACACAGTGGACATTCTGTTTAAATCTTGTCAATTATTTTAGTTCCGTGTAAACGCAGAAACAGTTTTTTAATTCATGAATTCCAGTTCTTGTTAGAAATTTCTGTTGCTTGCCGGGCGCAGTGGCTCAAGCCTGTAATCCCAGCACTTTGGGAGGCCGAGGCGGGTGGATCACGAGGTCAAGAGATCGAGACCATCCTGGTCAACATGGTGAAACCCCGTCTCTACTAAAAATACAAAAAATTAGCTGGGCATGGTGGCGCGTGCCTGTAATCCCAGCTACTCAGGAGGCTGAGGCAGGAGAATTGCCTGAACCCAGGAGGCGGAGGTTGCCGTGAGCTGAGATCGCGCCATTGCACTCCAGCCTGGGTAACAAGAGCGAAACTCCGTCTCAAAAAAAAAAAAAAAAGGAATTTCTGTTGCTTAAATCAAAACCACAATGAGATACCATCTCATGCAAGTCAGAATCGCAATTATGAAAACTCAAGAAACAATAGATGCCAGAGAGGATGTGGAGAAATAAGAATGCTTTTACACTGTCGGTAGGAACTTAAATTAGTTCAACCATTGTGGAAGACAGTGTGGCGATTCCTCAAGGATCTAGAACCAGACATATTTGACCCAGCCATCCCGTTACTGCGTATATACCCAAAGAAATATAAATCCTTCTACTATAAAGACACATGCACATGTATGTTTATTGCTGTGCTATTTACCATAGCAAAGACATGAAACCAATTTACATGCCCATCAATGATTGACTGGATAAAGAAAATGTGGTACATATACACTGTGGAATACTATGCAGCCATAAAAAGGAACGAGATCATGTCTTTTGCAAGGAAACAGATGAAGCTGGAAGCCATCATCCTTAGCAAACTAATGCAGGAAAGAAAACCAAATGCTGTATGTTCTCTCTCATAAGCAGGAGTTCAACAATTGAGAATGCATGGACACAGGGAGAGAACAACACACACAAGGGCCAGTCGGGAACTGGGGGTGAGAGGAGGGAGAGCATTAGGACAAATAGCTAATGCATGCAGGGCTTAAAATCTAGATGATGGGTTGAAAGGTGCAGCAAACCACCATTGCACATGTATACTTATGTAACGAACTCACACGTTCTGCACCTGTATCCCAGAACTTAAAAGTAACATTTAAAAAAAGAAAAACCATAACAAGAAAAAAGGAAATTTTTGTTGCCGATGTGACTGTACACTAAGTGCTAAAGTACAGCCTTCTGAGTGGGCAGTGCAACTCAGTGGTGAGCAGACTCTGCAGCCAAGTGCTTGGTCTCCGTGCAATTCTGCCATGTACTGGTTGTGTGACGGTCAGCGGTTATTTACTCTGAGCCTCAGTTTCCTCATCTACAAAATGGAAAAAATAATAGTTAACTCATTAGCTTACTGTGAAGATTAAATAAGCTAACATAAGTATCTCCAACTTAACAGCAGTAATAATTTCTGAAAATCAGTCTTCTAGATAAAAACCTGGAGCCTGGCCAGGCGTGATGGCTCACGCCTATAATCCTCAGCCTTTGGGAGGCTGAGGCAGGTGGATCACGAGGTCAAGAGATCGAGACCATCTTGGTCAACATGGTGAAACCCCGTCTCTACTAAAAATACAAAAATTAGCTGAGCGTGGTGGCGCACGCCTGTAGTACCAGCTACTTGGGAGGCTGAGGCAGGAGAATTGCTTGAACCCAGGAGGCGGAGGTTAAGGCGAGCTGAGATCATGCCACTGCACTCCAGCCTCGGTAACAAGAGCAAAACTCCGTCTCAAAAAACAAAACAAAACAAAAAAACCTGGAGCCTTTTTTTACATTATTTTAAGGAAGAAAAATGTGAATGTGTAACAAATCAACCATCCCTCCCCTCTAAGCAATTTCTTAAACTGCAACTAAACACACAAAAATTTCTATATATACATAAACTCACATTAAGGTGTTAAATGCACAAAACATCCCTTCTTGATCACTAAATAACACTAACATATTAATGCAGGAACGTCATGCTTCATATGCAGTGGAACCACTGCAATCATTTTTTTTTTTTTCGCTTTGGTTCCTTCTCTACAACTTTCTTCAATGCATTCCGAACTTTAATTGGAACTCCTTGTTCCAACTTATACTTAGCCCTACGCAAAAGCAAGTGTTAGATATGAAAAAGAGCAAAAAATAGGTTCCAGACCAGGACACAGCAACAATGAAAGGACCACACTGAGCAGGATGGTGAGAGCTTCTGGGCATCAGTAGCATCCTAAAGAGCACCTCTAAAGTGCACCTCTTCTTATTTTTTCAAGAGTCAGTGTCTCACTCTGTCACCCAGGATGGAATGCAGTAGCGCAATCATGGCTCACTGCAGCCACTAACTCCTGGACTCAAGTGATCCTCCCACCTCAGCCTTGGAGTAGCCAGGATTACAGGCTAAAGCCACCATACCTGTGATCTGGGCTCACTGCAACCTTTGCCCCTCCCCGACCCCCACCTTGCCTCTCGGGGTTCAAGGGATTCTCACCTCAGCCTCCTGAGTACCTGAGTAGCTGGGACTACAGGTGTGCACCACCAGGCCTGGCGAATTTTTTGTATTTTTAGTAGAGACAGGGTTTCACAATGTTGTCCAGGCTGGTCTCTAACTCCTGGCCTCAAGTGATCCTCCCACCTAGGCCTCCCAAAGTGCTGGTATTACAGGCATGAGTCACCGTGCCTGGCCTCTAATGGCACTTTTTAAAGGTTTATACTGGAATCTCATCTCTTACCAAGTGTATTCAACATGTCTTTTTTTTTTTTCTGCAGACTGTTTTTTGTTGTTGTTGGTGGTGGTTTTTGTTTGTTTTTGAGATGGAGTCTCGTTCTGTCACCAGGCTGGAGTGCAGAGTCGCAATCTTAGCTCACTGCAACCTCTGCCTCCAAGGTTCAGGCTATTCTCCTGCTTCAGTCTCCTGAGTAACTACAGGCGCATGCCACTGCATCAGGCTAATTTTCACATTTTTAGTAGAGACGGGGTTTCACAGCATTGGCCAGGCTGGTCTTGAACTCCTAGACTCAAGTGATCTGTTTATATCAGCCTCCCAAAATGCCGGGATTGCAGGTTGAGACACCGTGCCCGGTAAGACCCCGTTTCTCTTAAAAAAACAAAAACAAAAACAAAACTAAAAAAAAAAATGTTTATAAATGTTGTACTGAGTTTTTAGGATGTGAATACATATTTATTCCCTACATAAACATCAAATAAAGTATGTCAAAATGAGGATTCTTGTTTTTGAATTATGGGTATCAAAACCTATGAATCTCCTTAAGAGAGGAAGGGAAAAACGTTAAGTGTGGGGAAGGCCTATAAAACAAGCCTGGCCAGTAAATGTTTGCTGCATTATCAGTCTGGGTCATTAACCTTGTCAACAGTCGTATTCTGTCATTCAATCATTCATCCCTTCGAAAAATAGTTTTGGAAAATTCACTTCAGGCCAACTTCTGTTGCCAACCTTGAGGGGACGTGGTAAACGAAATACGTTCCCTTCCTCCAAGGAGCCAACATGTTAGCGGGGGAAATGGAGGCCGACTGTGCTAGGTGCTTCCATGGAACGCGAGGCTGAGCTGGCGACAGAGGCTGACTTCCGGGTGGGAGGCCGGAACCTCGCGCAGACAGCGAGGGATTCGCACCCTCGGTCTGCACCGCGCAGTCGGGCGCCAGAAACTCTCCAGGCCCCAGCCGGGTCCGAGGGAGCTGGATGCGGCTGGATCCCACAACACCAGGGACCCAGGGAAAGAAGGTGAGTCCAGGGCCGGGCGCGGTGGCTCACGCCTGTAATCCCAGCACTGTGGGAGGCCGAGGCGGGTGGATCACGAGGTCAAGAGATCGAGACCATCCTGGTCAACATGGTGAAACCCCGTCTCTACTAAAAATACAAAACATTAGCTGGGCATGGTGGCGCGTGCCTGTAATCCCAGCTACTCAGGAGGCTGAGGCAGGAGAATTGCCTGAACCCAGGAGGGGGAGGTTGCGGTGAGCCGAGATCGCGCCATTGCACTCCAGCCTGGGTAACAAGAGCGAAACTCAGTCTCAAAAAAAAAAAAAAAAAAGAATCTTTCCCAGGTGGAACCTTCACATGAAACAGCAGCCCTGGCTGACAGGTCAACTACAACCTCATAAGAGACTTCATAGGGCTGGGTGCGGTGGCTCACGCCTGTAATCCCAGCACTTTGGGAGGCTGAGGCGGGTGAATCATGAGGTCAAGAGATCGAGACCATCTTGGTCAACATGGTGAAACCCCCTCTCTATTAAAAATACAAAAAATTAGCTGGGCACGGTGGCGCGTGTCTGTAATCCCAGCTACTCAGGAGGCTGAGGCAGGAGAATTGCCTGAACCCAGGAGGCGGAGGTTGCAGTGAGCCGAGATCGCGCCATTGCACTCCAGCCTGGGTAACAAGCACGAAACTACATCTCAAAAAAAAAAAAAAAAAAAAAAAAAAAGAAGGTGAGTTTCGGTTTCCAAGAAAGGTCTCGCGTGTTACCTTGGGTGAGGAGAAGACATGGTCCCTATTGTAACTAGGGACCCCAAGGCATCTATCCCGCGTCCGAGCTGCTGTGTACAGTGGGCACTGGCACACCTGAGGAGGGCCCCAAACCAACGTTAAGGCAGCAGACAAGGGAAGCAGCCGAGGAAATCAAAGTGGACCGCGGCGGCCCAGGGCACAGGCGAGTCGGCGGAGGAGTTGGCTGAGACCATCCAGCCGCTGACTTCCGTCCTGCAACCGACTTCGCGTGAACACACCCGGCGATTCAGAGCTCTCAAGTCACATTCTGAGGCCCCGCCCCCGGAACGCCGGGCTAGACGACCCCGCCCCGGAACTTTGTGTCACCGGCACTAAATGCAGAGTTTCCTCTAGTTGTACCCGGACGCAACTGTGAAGTGACCTAAACACTTCCGGCGCGGAAAAATGGCAGCTGCCGTTCCGACCTCACGTGTGAGTGCGGGGGGAAATCTGAAAAAGACCCCAAAGAAGAAGATGAAAATGGCAACCGGAGCCGTAGCGTCGGTGCTGGAAGAGGAGGGCACAGACGGTTCCGATAGCGAAGGTAATGTGGTAGGGCTGAGCTTTGGTGTCGGAGGAAAGGCCCGGCGGAGTTCACGTCAAGCTGTGCTTGCGACTGCATTTGCCGCTAGCCACCCGGGTTTTATCTTGGCACCAAATCGGAGCAGCGACTTTGGCTTAGTGAGGAGGCTTGGGGAAGTCGTGTTCATCAGAGAAGGAACGCTGTCAACAGTAATTTTGGGTTTCACATTCTCTTACGAGGCATTTTCAGGGTCACTGATATTAATTATAATAAAATGGGTGAAACAGCTGCAGCTGCTGAGAAACTTACAGCAGCAAAGGGTGAAAGGAAGAGGGTACTTGAAAACAGGAGTAGGATGGGTCTCACAGGGTATAAGAAACAAAAGGTTAAAAGAGGTAAGAGGAAGAAGTCTCGTGTACTTGACTTTTCTTGTGTGGTAGATGCCTGCGTGGTTTAGAGACTAAATAATAGTAAGTGAAAGAAGAGGTGGGTAGTGGTTAAGGTCGACTAAAATCTGGTAGCGTTTGATAACTATGTCTCTCAGAGACGCTTGATAATAAAACATGGAAGGATGTGTTTTGAGGCTTTCAACCATGCTGTGTCTGTTGCTCCTCTTTACATGATTTTTGGCACCAGCTTCTTAGGTTGCAAGGAATTGCAGATAATCCCTGACTTCCTACTGCCCAGTTATTGCTCCTTTGTACTAGCTGATACCCGTAAAACAGAGCTATTCTTTTATAACGTATTTCTAATCATGTCCGCTGTCGCTTGAGATGATCCAGTGGCTTCCCATCTCAGTATATAACATCCAAAATCCTTAGCCTGTGTGATTTGGGCCAGGTTGTCTGTTGTAGGCCAGTCTGCCCCTCAGGAACCACTAACTAATCTAGCCATATCGCTATGCTTGTGTTTGTTTAACCCCCTAAACATGCTCCCACACCATGGTTTCTGCACTTGTTGGCTCCACTGCCTAGAATTAGGTTTCAAATGCTTGCATATCTATCCCTCACTTCCTTCAGCCTCTGATTTAGTCCCTTACCAGAGAGACTTGTCCCTGACTACCCTATCTAGTGTACCACCACTACTCTTCTTCCTGCCTTCCCTTCTTTGCTTTTTGACTTATTGCCCTGCTTTATTTTGTTTTCAACCCTGCCCAACCATTTGATGTATATATTTGTTGCATATCTTCCCCAACTGGAATATAAGTTCCATAAAAGTAGAAACTGCTATATCCCCACTTCCTATTGTCTTGTGGGTCCATCTCCTGCCACATTGTTAAGGAAAACAAACTATTTGTTGAGCAGAAATTAGAACTTTTGGTTCTGATACTTTTTGAACTCATTAGACTAGTTCGAACAGTATTATTCAAAAAAGGAAGAGTACTATATTTGGAGCAAAATGTCAGTACTGCTTACAAATTGGTTCTTTTTTCTTTTTGAGACAGGGTCTTGCTTTGTCACCCAGGCTAGACTGCAGTGGCACAAACATGGTTCATTGCAACCTTGATCTCCTCCCCCACTGACCCCCAAAGTGATCCTCTTGCCTCAGTGCCCCCAAGTAGCTAGGACTACAGGCACATACCACTTGTACCTGGCTTTTTTTTGGTAGAGATGGGGTTTTGCCATGTTGCCCAGGGTGGTCTTGAACTCCTGGGTTCAAGTGATCCGCCCATTTCAGCCTCCCAAAGTACTGAGATTATAGGCCTGAGCTATTGCACTGAGCCAAATTGGATTTTTCTGTTCAAGTACTAGGTAATTCCAGGTTGGAACTGTTCTGAAGTTTCAGCATATTATTATAAATGCTGATTAGGTTTTAAGGTTCTCTTCCTATTATAGATCAGCTACATTATGGATTAAGAAGTTTTTGGCTAATATGGAAACCTAATTTATCTAATTCAATGCAATGAACAATCGTTAGGTTCCCTCAGGTTTCAGTCACCCTCTAGGTGTTGAGGATACAAAAGATGAATAAATGTCTGCATTAAAATTACAGTTTTAGGAAAGACATTAAACACAGGACTGTAACATAATGTATTAGATATAATTAACAGGTAGTTTTCAAGATCATGGTTCAATTTAGGAAAGGTAAGGATGGAGACAGAAATCCATGTCCTCTGGAACCCAACCTGGGCATTGCTTACTTGTATCTTACATGTATTTCTGATAATATTACTACATTATCATTATATTAACATGTCTCTCTCCTTATAAAGTTCCCCAAATGTCAAAATTATGTCTTGTTTATTTTCACAGGGTCTTCTTTGCATTTTAGTATTCAGTAAATTGCTTTGTTGACTGAATGAATAAGGTGGCATTCTGTCTAGGCTTTAGAAGAGTGAATAGTTTTATTTGGCCTGGGAGCATGGAGGACAGTTTTCTCAGACATAAAAGCATATACAGTGGCATGCAGCCTCTTAAAATTCATGGCATATTACAGACAAAGTAATCTTCTGTTATGGCTCTAGTTGTTCAGAGAAGTGACTAGAAGTAAAACTGGAAACTGGTTAAAAGTAGATTATAAAGGGCTTTGTATATTTGTAGGCCAACATGTTTGCAGGGAGCTACTGAGAACTTTTAAGCAAGATGGTGACAGACGTTTATAAATACTGCTGCCAGATGGTAACTGCCAAAGAGTTTGTAGGCAATTTTGCAAAACTGCGTGTTAGGATCTGCACTAGGACAGGTCAGTGAAGACAGAGAAGGGCCCCACTTGAAACATTTTTTGGAAAGAAAGTATTCAGTTTTCCAAACAGCCAACTTCCATGAAAGTTTGTAGCACCGTAAGTTTTGGGCATACTACACTGTTAGAGGAATTTAATAATAACAATAGTTATATTTTTTGAGCTTTTCTAGGTGCCTGGTTCTGTTCTGAGTTCCTTATATATATATCGCCTCAGAGAATTCTGACAGCTCTTTGAGGTAGATGCTACTATTATCCTCATGTTACATTGAAAAACCTGCGACACAGAGGTTTATAACTTGCCACTTCCGTACATAAGCTAATAAGCAAGTTGATAAATGATATAACAATTATTGACATTTGATTGTAGAGCTTATGCTCTTGACCGCTACCTTAATATAGTTGAGGAATCAGGAGGACACAGATAATAAAAAAAACTTAGTTGAGGAATCAGGAGGACACAGATAATAAAAAAATGATCTGGAAAGTGAAAGGGCAGGGCCATTGAATCTGAAGAAAGGATTGGGAACAAGGAGACTGGTATTGAGACAAACTTTTCTCCCTCCCACTCAGGAAGGTTTTATCACCAAGGAATTTTTTTTAACTTGCCTGCTAGCAGTAACTTAAACCAAGGGATATGTTTGTGTTCAGATTTCTATAGCACTTCTTCCAGTGTTTATAACCAGAGTATTCTCTCCTTCCTTCCTTTCTCCTAAAGTCCACGTTATTTCTGGAAATAAATTCTGGCGTTCACGCTTGTGTAAGAGGCAGCTGTGTTGGTAATACCTTTCAGAGTGGCTTAGTGCTAGTTATTGACTATTCTCTGCCTCCATTTCCCATCTACAAAATGAGGATGATAATAGTGTCTACTTCAGGATTGTTGTCAAGATTAAATGAGTTTATATATGGTAAGCATTTAATATTTGCCACATGGTACCCACTCATAAATATTAGTGATAATGATGATGATGTCTCTTCTAATCTAAAAGAAGCTGCTAGTCCTTTCTTTTTGCCAAATAAGCTTTCGCACCTTTGGTAACGTGGTGTTTGTAAGCTGGAGCTCTCCCCAGAAAAGAGCTTTGAATTACTCTAGTAACCCTGTAAGGCAGCTGATGGCATTTCTATTTACAGATAAGAAAAGAAGCTTGGAAAAAGTGTTTCCAGTACATCATTGCTTCTAGTAGAAAACTGCTACCTCCATAGGTGCAGGATGTTATGTTATTCCAGCTGTTATACCCTAGCCATCTGATCACGTATTGATAAAATTCAACATCAGTGGTAATGATTTTGATAACAATTGATTGTGTCTGCTTGGTTGTGCCATACACATCTCAAACTCAATATTTGCAGAACAATTTATAATTTTCTTTGTCAAAGCTGCTTCTGTCTCTAAGAAAGATACTGCCATGTACGCCCATCCAAGCTAGAAACACAAGCGTCATCTTTTTTTTTTTTTTGAGATGGCGTCTTGCTCTGTCACCAGGCTGGAGTGCAGTGGTGCAATCTCAGCTCACTGCAACCTCCACCTCCTGGGTTCAAGCGATTCTCCTGCCTCAGCCTCCCAAGTAGCTGGGACTACAGGCAAGCACCACCACACACAGCTAATTTTTGTGTATTTTTTAGTAGCGGTGGAGTTTCACCATGTTGGCCAGGATGGTCTCAGTCTCTTGATCTCATGATCCACCCGCCTCAGTCTCCCAAAGTGCTGGGATTATAGGCATGAGCCACACCCCAGCCTAAGTGTCATCATTTACTCTTCCTGTTGCTTCCATATCTGTTAGGTTTAATTAATTCATTTATCCGATTACCACCACTTGCCTGCGTCTCTCTTTTTTTTTTTTTTTTTTTTGAGAGAGAGTTTTGCTCTTGTTGCCCAGGTCTCAGCTCACCCCAATGGCTGCCTCCCAGCTTCAAGCTATTCTCCTGCCTCAGCTTTTAAAAGTAGCTGGGATTACAGGCATGCACCACCACACCCAGCTAATTTTGTATTTTTAGTAGAGACAGGGTTTCTCCTTGTTGGTCCAGCTAGTCTCAAACTCTCAACCTCAGGTGATCCACCCACCTTGGCCTCCTAACGTGCTGGGATTATAGACATGAGCCACTACACCTGGCCTTGCATGCATCTCTTTTGTTTACATTAGTTCATAGGGGATTTATCTGTTGGGCCTGTCACTGCAGGCCTACTCCCTTCAGTATGTCTTCTAGACAAGCTTCTTAAGCCATCAATGTTGGAGGACCATTCTAGTTTTTGTTTTTTAATATACAATCTGTCATAAACAGGTGTTTAAAAAAAATAAATGAAAAAGAATAACCAGAAACATGACCACATTGTTGGACATCAT